CCAGTCTGCTCGTTTTATCGCGTTTAACCACAGCTGTTGTCGTTCTTTTTGTCTGGCAGTGGCAGCAGATATGCGATCAAATTTCTAATTTGAGTCTGTATTACGTCGATTCTGGCACCCAACATCACAACAAGATGATATTTTAAGCTCCTTATGTAGCCGAATCTACATCGCATATCTGCTGGTTTGAATGGGCTGCCTCCAGTTTCCCCTTTGTTTTGCTGCCTCCAGCTAGCGCTGTGACGTCGGCTGACCTTAGTTACCTGTGGTTGGCCTGGCCGTGTGTCACTCAGAACACAACAGGCCAATCAGAAGAGAGGCTCAGAATATAACAGGCCAAAATCGATCGGTTCTCAGCAGAGCTCCTGAGAGAGGAGCTGTAAAAATATATTGAGATGGGTTTTGGTACTTATACCGCAAATATATTATTCTTAATAAAACTCCAGAAAGGTGTACAATATGTGACCTTTAATTTAGTTTAACTTTATGTACTAACATAGCTAAAATTAACACTGAAATAAAATTAATAAAAAATATCCCTAGCCCCAGACTTCCTTATTTTCTTACATAAAATGACATGAAACAAATTTGTGTGTTAACGCATAACAAATATAAAAATACTTTGTAATGAACTAAATTTCTTATTTTTATTTCAATATAGAATCTGTAGCATAGAAGAAAATAGATGAGAATATGAGAATATATCATTTGTTTTTACGAAACGGCATAAACAGTGGCACAAGGACATTGTCTGTTTTGCAGTCATTTGTTTTTTATGATTTTATAGGCACAGTCCCCTTATAAATGTAGCTGATAATTAACTGGCATTTTCACAAGCACTGAAAACTTATTTTCGCTTTCACAATGTGAACAGACATCTGTTTACTCGCATAAAAAATTTGTAATGCCACTTCTCTTGCTGATTGAAGAGTCCTCCACTCGCTCTGAGGCAGCACTGTGTGTGTGTGTGTGTGTGTGTGTTTGTTTGGGATGGGATTGGCGTTTAGGAGAGCATGTCAGCTCTTTTAGCATCACAGAGCAGTCAGTGGCTTGTCAGCTCTCCCTCCCTCACTGCATCCTGACAATGCAAATCTATGCAAATGACGTCTCACTGTCGGACAGTTCTCTGCAGGCCCGCGCCTCATGAATGAGTTACTCATTTGAAAGAAAACTACTTCTAAATGGTGCCGACGATCTAAACGAAAGAACAGAATAAAGTACAATATTAGCTGATTGCTTCGTAATCTCTCAGGTACCGTTCCGAGGATATAAATTTGATAAATTTGCTGTTTGCTATTCAGGTGGGGACTGGTGGTTACACAGAATGGCCGAGTAACACGGAGGTACTTGTGCCGTCTCCTGATACGATGTGAAGGTACTCCGGCACACCTTCCACTGTTCCTTTATCTCTTCGTGTTGAGAGAGCTCTCTTTTGGTTAACATAATGTGACTCTTGCACAGAGCGTTGAGACAGGCCTGATATTGTTTTTTTTATGACTTGACCTTTGAGTTATTATTTTCCCCTTTGATGAATAATTGTTGTGAATAACTGAGCTGATCCTCGTTGTTCTGTGTGGATGCTGTCTGAGCTTCCTCTTAGTGTGTGAGGGATCAAGAATATACTGTAGGATTTTATGAAGTTTCGCAAGAAGTACGAAAATATGTAACTGCAAACCTTCAAACAGTGTAACTATATTAATTATTCATATCCCAGTGCATGCTGGGTAAATGTAAATGGGGCTGAAAACTTTTTTGAGTGTAGGCTTAATTGATATAAAAAAAGCATTAATTCAGCTTATTGGTTTGATGTGAAAAAATGAAGTGCATTGTAGAAAAGCAGCATCGAGATGCAATACAATGGGGGGAAAAAATGACAGAAACCGTTTTCACTCAGAAATTGCTAGTAAATGTCACAAATAATACAAATAAAGGGCAAGACCACATTTAATTAAACATAATTTTTAATAACAAAGACTGAAATAGTATTTTTTCTAAAACATACTATTTTAATATTTATTTACAAATTTAAAAAAAATTATAGTATGAGAGTTGTTAGAACCTCAGAGTAACAAGTAAAGAAAAAAAAAACAATAATCAGGTATATAAATGCTTTTTTTTCAGCATTATATTCTTTAATAATTATTTACAGCTGCAAATCGTTTGGTTTTGTTGAAAATAATAATTAATTCTTAAAAGAAGCATTAATTCAGCTTATTGGTTTGATGTGAAAAATTGAAGTGCATTGTAGAAAAGCAGCATCGAGATGCAATACAATGGGGGAAAAAATGACAGAAACCGTTTTCACTCAGAAATTGCTAGTAAATGTCACAAATAATACAAATAAAGGGCAAGACCACATTTAATTAAACATAATTTTTAATTACAAAGACTGAAATTTGTTTGGGATGGGATTGGCGTTTAGGAGAGCATGTCAGCTCTTTTAGCATCACAGAGCAGTCAGTGGCTTGTCAGCTCTCCCTCCCTCACTGCATCCTGACAATGCAAATCTATGCAAATGACGTCTCACTGTCGGACAGTTCTCTGCAGGCCCGCGCCTCATGAATGAGTTACTCATTTGAAAGAAAACTACTTCTAAATGGTGCCGACGATCTAAACGAAAGAACAGAATAAAGTACAATATTAGCTGATTGCTTCGTAATCTCTCAGGTACCGTTCCGAGGATATAAATTTGATAAATTTGCTGTTTGCTATTCAGGTGGGGACTGGTGGTTACACAGAATGGCCGAGTAACACGGAGGTACTTGTGCCGTCTCCTGATACGATGTGAAGGTACTCCGGCACACCTTCCACTGTTCCTTTATCTCTTCGTGTTGAGAGAGCTCTCTTTTGGTTAACATAATGTGACTCTTGCACAGAGCGTTGAGACAGGCCTGATATTGTTTTTTTTATGACTTGACCTTTGAGTTATTATTTTCCCCTTTGATGAATAATTGTTGTCAATAACTGAGCTGATCCTCGTTGTTCTGTGTGGATGCTGTCTGAGCTTCCTCTTAGTGTGTGAGGGATCAAGAATATACTGTAGGATTTTATGAAGTTTCGCAAGAAGTACGAAAATATGTAACTGCAAACCTTCAAACAGTGTAACTATATTAATTATTCATATCCCAGTGCATGCTGGGTGTTGTCTCAGTCTCAACGAATGAGCTGATCCTCGTTGTTCTGTTTGGATGCTGTCTGAGCCTCCTGTGACTAGAATATACTGTAGGATTTTATTCAGTTTTGCAAGAAGTACGAGTAATTTTAAAGTAATTTTAATTAAGAGACTGAATTTTTTTTCTAAAACATACTATATTAATCTTTTTGTGTACAATATTTTTTTTCAATAATCAGGTCAATAATTGCTTATTTTTCAGCATTTATCATTTTTCCAGTGTAATGTGAGAAGTTGTGAGAAGGCTAGAAATAGTTTGTTGTGGTGCAAATCATTTTGTTTTGTGTAAAATTATCAATAATTCTTAGAATAATAATTCTTGAATGTTGTCATATGGGAACCTGGCGATTCCATATGTCAGTCATCCTTATATACTGGCAAATTTGAGCTTGTCTCTCTGTATTGATTTGAGCGAATGCTCAATATGTTTTATAATTTGTGATAATCACATGTGTAATTATTGTATTTATTGACATATAAAAAGAAATAGAAAGCATATGGGATCTTGGCTGTGGATCTTTTTTCTTCTAAATGTGAGGGGAATGTCTGTGAGCCACAAAGAAATATATTAGATGATTTGGGATGAAACAGAAGGGTTCGTGGGATAGCCGCGTTATCAGTGTAGGTGGAATATTTTAAAGTGTAGAAGTCATAACCTTTCACTCTTCCTTCCTCTCACATATTAAATCACTGACTGTGGCAATGACAGAGCTGAAATTATGAAATATAGACTCACAGTTGTGGCTGTTGTTTTTCTAATGGCACTCTCTGCATAGAAATTCTCACTCCTTCTGCTTGGCGTGTTGATAAAGCATTTCTAGGAGAAGGCAGCAAATATTTAACGTATCTGCGAGCGTGATGCACATCTGTCTAACAGCCCTGGGGCCAGACCCAGCACACAACAAGGCAACAAATGCTGATCCTGGCCTTCTCTGCAGCAAAATAAAATATGGCTCAAGTTTTCATTAAGGTGCTATTGATTAGCTTTTCCTTGCAATGAGTTATGGGCGACATTAGATAAAAAGGAAAATATTTTTATGACTTTTCACAGGCCATTCCGGAACCAGCATGCTTCTCACTCGCCAGCCCGACAGGCGTTTTGTTTTCTATCAAATTGTTGTGGCTAGGAAAGCTCTGGGTATTTTTTTTCCATGAAAATGATTGTTAAGAGTTTGCACTATGCATTTCCTCTCTTATACGCTCACCACAAATAAAAATAAATGACACGTTTATCACTGAGCTTAACCAGGGGTTATATTGGGAAATTTAATTAATTTAAAAATAGAAGAAAAGTATTGGAAATTTGTCATATATAGAATATCATTGATAATTTATTAAGTTTATTTACATAATAAAATGTACTTTTGTATTTATATACTGTATACAATGTATGCTAGGAAAAAAAAACATTAACCAGGATACTTTTGCTGTTTTGTCATATCATGCCTCAGGCATCTCAACAATTTTTTGGGCTCCCCAACCATTTTATCCCCTGAATTTGCCCATCTCTACTCGGTGGGCTTCACAGACTGATGGGAAATGCGTACATCCTTAGTTGGCATGCATGTTTGCAAAAAGACAGCCAATTGTCATCGTAATAGTAAAGGGAAAAGAAAAATGTTAAAAGAATATAAAAAAATAATTAAAAGAGACTCGTTGAAGACTGTCAAATGTTGGAGATGTCTCTGTGTGGATTTATGTTCAGCCTGCTTCAGAACATATCCTAAAGTCTTTTGTTTTTACTTTGTCATCAAAGGAGTGTGATATTTTTTTCCCTTTAAAATTTAGCCTGGAGTTCACTTTTCTTTATTTTTATTTCCCTCTGTAGGTGTATCAGATTCCATGCGGTGCAGTTTGGACCTATAAGGGGATGTTTAAAGAATAAAAACCTAGGTGCGGCAGTGCAGGGATTTCTGAAAAGATGAAAGGCGTGCGGCTATCAAAGATCTTTATCCTTCCTGCTGCTTGAAATGAGACTGACAAACGACTGTATTCTAAAATTACACAGTGATAAATGACTGTACATAGACAGCCTATAGATTTCAAATAGCTTCTGCCAAACAAGATTGAAACAAAATTTAAAGTAAATTCATTCAGCTGTGCAATTTTTTTTTTGTTATTAACAAAATCACCAGCTTTAGCTCTCTTAGCTATTTGAAAATGTACTTGCTCCTGAAAAATTTCAAAATAGAATTAAAGGTGTTATTTGTATACAAACCCAATTCCAAAAAAGTTGGGACACTGTACAAATTGTGAATAAAAAAGGAATGGAATAATTTACAAATCTCATAAACTTATATTTTATTCACAATAGAATATAGAGAACATATCAAATGTTTGTTTATAAGAATTAAAGCTGATAATTAATGTTATATTATTTGGTAATTTAAAATACTTCCCCAGCTAACTGACTATGACATTTGTAGGTTATTTTCCCAGTATATACTGTAGTTCTGTTGCACAATTAAAATATTGCTATGTTTGAGCATCCCAATCAATCCCACAAAGTCAATCCCAAAAAGTTAGCTTAACCAATGGCATGAGCTTTGGGCGGGGCTATCTGTGTACTGACCAATGACTGACAACAGCTTTTTTGACAACATTCACTAGTTTTGCAAATCTGTTTTTTTGGCACTATAGTGAGACAAAAAATTGCACATTTAATATTTAAAGAGATAGTATGTGCATGTATGTTTTTCTTTCTTTAAACAATTTTGGACCCTATTGACGTTTTGTATGGGCAAAAACCCTACAACCTTTTCCAAAACATCTTCTGTTGTGTTCCATGGAAGAACAAAAGTCATACAGGTTTGGAACAGCATGAAGGCATGAGATAAATGATGATAGGAAATTCAGTTCTCTTTCAGTCGGTCACTCTCGACGTCAATTAGGATCTCGCTTAGAGAGACCAATCTACTTCGAGTGTAAACTAAACGAGCCAATGCACATTGGCATACGATTATTGCATCCAGCTGCCGCTGATCACAGCGTGAGTATAAGTGGGCAGCAGATGCAGCGCATATTCAGCTTTTCGATCTGCGATCACATCATTCTGCTCCTGACTACTCTACTGAGAGAAGAAGACTGAACGAGTTCAGTGCGCTTTTGGAGAGCCCTTCGTGTTGACGGTACGGCGCTTCAGCGGTGGTGGTTTCCCGTGTCGAGTGGGTTGCACACATCAGGCTGCACTAACCCCTGTTTGTGTTGCAGATGATCATCTCCCCTGTGCGCCTCAGCATGCTAAAAGAGCTTTTTCCCCTAAAAGAGCAATTTTGGGAGCGTCTTTTTAAAGACGACGTTGCGTGGCAAACTTGACGTTACGTCTTTGTAAAGACGATGTGGGTCTTGCTATAGACAACGTCTCACCCAAGCGTTTCTGGATGCGGTCGTTACCTGGCTCTGGGTGATGGTCACGATCG